ATGTAAAAAACAAATCTTGATCTTTTAGTTTGACGATAATACATTGCTAGTGGTCACAACCTAAAAACACCACATATACACCCAATTTTAATGTATTTTTTCAAAAGCACGTTTGTAGAAAAACATAATAAATATTCAAAACGTCAGTACCTTGGCGTGTCACAACTCCTGAATCAAATATTTAAGTGATTTTATTTTAAAATATATTCAATTTATCTTAAATTTTTCAATTTCACTACAAACTATAAAACATTAAATAATGTATTTTTCATATTTTATCATAGATTCGAATAATAGCAATTTTTTAAAAATTGATAATCTTTCTACTCACTTGTACCCGTCTGTTCTGTGGCCAATGTTAAAATTCAAAATTCCTGCGAAATATTGAAGTTTAAACGTCCTCGTTTTAACTCAAGTGTTGGTAAAAAATTACCTACAGAGCCCCCGCCCTTTGCACGACATTCATCTTGAAAACAATGCAAGCTGCGAAGTTGTGGTGAATGCACGTATAGTTCCAGTCAAAATTTCAGTACTGTGGTGAGTAGTTATTTTCTTACGTATATATTTCATTGTAATTTATAGGTATAAGGCTATATGTGCTTTGTTGATAAGTAGCATCCACTAATAAAAAATATCAGTAAAATACTTAATTCCGAATTATAATCTCAAATTTGTATCCATTCATCAGTACCATGTCGTCAGTTCCATGTTCGATATTTCGGTTGTCTTTTTTTCGCAAACTTCAATTTAAATTGTGCTTGCGCAGAACTTGTTTATTTAATGTCATTATAAACTCATATAAATTTGGTGTGGATCCCATATCTAATAATTGAGATATCGGTATACCCAAAATCCACCAGCCGCAACTGATGTGTGGTATTATTTGATTTTAAGATATTTAATGTATAATATGCTCAAAGTTGCAATAAATCTTATATTTTCCAATAAATTATGTATTTAATTAGTACCCTGGTATACTCGTCACTTCCCTTGCATTCAAATTTAGAAAAAACAGATATTTCAGAAACTGTTTGAAAAAGTGACTGGCTCGGTCTGGAACAGTATATTTATTATACCTATTATCTATGTTCTCATAACAAAATACTGTTTAATTTTCTCCGAAAACTATATAAACAAAATGAGGTCAAAAGTTGCCCAACTTTTGTAGAATCTCCCATATAATATTAAGCTACTGTTTCCAAGAGGACACAAAGGCTCACTTTGATTCTAACCAGAGCCGGCTTAAGGCAATTGAGCGCCTTAGGCACTTAAAAATTTGGCTCCTATAACTAGATACTATACTTACGGGGCCCGGGGCAAATTTTAAAAAAGCTTATTAGAGCCACCCCAAACTGTTAGCTTAAGGGCGCCCGAGCATTATAACCTAATTATTCCCTATGAATTAGAATACTTTTTATCATTAAAAAAATACATAAAAAACATAAATAACATACAAAAATAACAAATATAATGTAAATAAAAAGTGTTAGGACTTATAACTGCTTTTTTCTGCAAGATGTCATTAGTAAGTATTTAAAAAAAATAAAATCAACTTTAATTTTCTGTATTGTATGTTAAATGTACTGCTGGTTTATTGTAATTAGTTTAATATTAAAATTTCAGAAATACCTTAAAACAAACAGAAAAATTAACACTATCTAAATGTGGATTTAGCCAGCATTTTTGTAACGTAATCTAACGTAACGTAATTTAATTTAAAAGCCAGGCTAAATCAACCTTAACTATCGAACACAGACTGCTATCACCAAACACACAACACATAGAAGTGCCACTCTTGAATAAACGCGGAAACACCCAAGTCCTTCCGGCAGCAGTTTCCTCTAGTAGCTCGTACCCGCTAGGGTGAGCAGCACATTACAGCGGGTACCCGATGCAAGAGGAATCCGTGTGCTTGGAGCATACGGGGGTTTTGAAATAAACTGCGCACCAGTCAATGTGTCGCGACCAAAAATTTCGTCCTTTTTCAAAACGACATAACTTTTTTGTTTCTTGAACGATTTAATTTTGGTTTATGATGTCTGCTAGCCCCATTCTCTGGCAATTCATGCTATAGATATGAAGCTCGCGGTTTTTCAAGTAAATTTACTACAGGGTGATATGTAAAACAGTGAAAAATTTCAATAACTTCATCCAAGCCCCGTTTGTAAAATAAATATTTTTTTCTCGTTTTTACTTTGAAATAATGAAGTATTATGTCTTACCTTGAAACCTTTTTCAAATTTTTCGAATTGGAATCTTAGCAACAAAAATATGAATTTTTTTTTCAAAAGAGTACATTTGATGCTTTTTCGTAGGCAATACACTGAGCCTTTTTAAGATAAAAAAGATAAGATATTGAAAGATTTTTCCTTGAATAATTCTAAACAAGCGACAAGCAACAAACTTCCATTAATTTCAGAGGAACCTAAGCAAAGACCACTTTTTCAAAATGACATTTTGGAGAAAATTTGCGAAAACTAAACCTGAACCGATATTTACGTTTGTGACATGTTTGCTTTATAATTTTGACCTCCTGTTGTGATTCAGTTGTCAAATTTAAGTTTTAGATGAAACCAAAATCACCAAGAATCAAAATTCGAAAACAATTCCCGGCTGTTAAATGTCTCAATCAAATGTACTCCATTGAAAAAAAAAACATATTTTTGTTGCTAAGATTCCAATTCGAAAAATTTGAAAAACGTTTCAAGGTAAGACATAATACTTCATTATTTAAAAGTAAAAACGAGAAAAAAATATTTATTTTACAAACGGGGCTTGGATGAAGTTATTGAAATTTTTCACTGTTTTACATATCACCCTGTAGTAAATTTACTTGAAGAACCGTGAGCTTCATATCTATAGCATGAATTGCCAGAGAATGGAGCTAGCAGACATCATAAACCAAAATAAAATCGTTCAAGAAATAAAAAAGTTATGTCGTTTTGAAAATGGACGAAATTTTTGGTCGCGACACATTGAGTGGTGCGCAGTTTAGTTTAAAGAGTGCTAAAGATATGTTTATACAGAAGTGAATTTGCGGCACGATTTTTGTCGGCTTTACACCTCGTTATTACAAAGGAAGGTAAATTTTTATAAAATAATAAAAACAGTAAAAAATATTCTGTTATTACAATTGTATATTGTTTATTTGTTTTATTTTTGGAAAAAATAAACATTTTGGTAACAATTTTTATTTATTTTTTAAGTTGCTTGGGGACAAGGCGCCTATTTCTACGTGGCGCCTAAGGCAATTGCCTTTCCTGCCTAATGGGTAATATGGCCCTGATTCTAACACAATGTTGCATGGCAAACAAACAATTCGAAATGGCTTGCGCAATTTGCCGGGCAACAATACAGTTGGCTTGCAGAAAGATAAATAGAAAAGTTGGGTGATCGTGCGCTTGGCCATTTTCCCGCACTCGGCTCGACTACGTACAATTGCCGTTGGCTTTATCGCCATTCACCATTAGATCTCGCATTATGATACAAAAGCCGGCAAAATGAATTAAATATCTTATCTGTACTCAAGCATCGTAGTGTGCAGACAATTTAAACTTATATTTACTGTGAGATTAATTTGTGGCCATTTGCAGATGAGAGTATTGTCGTTTGATTTCATGATGCAGAACTACCCAAATACTCGAGGTTTAGAAGCCTTTCTTGCTTTTCATAAACATCGATTTCTTAACATGTATGTTCACTAGACTGGGCCAAAAAAATCAACTATTTTTTTTTTGAAAAGTATATCGAAAATATTGTTTTGGGTGACAAAAAAGAAATATGGTGAAAGTTTGAGTCTATAATATTAATATTAAGAGGTCTATCATCGCAATTTTTGATTTTTTTTCCAGAGCGAGTTTTTGTCTCAGAACTCCCAAACCATTGAGTTTAACAAAATTGACTTAAAAACAGATTTTGAAGAAAATTGAATTTTCTACAAAAAAGGTAAAATTGGAATTTCCCGTCAGATGAACCGTTTTCTTACAATGGCTTAAAAATTGGTATAGTTTTACAATTTGATCTTTTAACTTTGGAATTTTGTAATTCATGTAAAAATCAGTACCCAGAAAAAAACCAATGAATATTCTTATGGGAAATCAAATGCTTTAAAATTTCAAAAAAAAGTAGGTGTTTCAGTGGAATTAATTTAAAAGGCTTATTGAACATAGTAATTTTGATTTTTTGAATGATTTTTTTATATTTGATAAAAACTAACTAATGAATTTGCCTAAAATTGAAGTAAAAAATGCAATTATGACAAATTTAACTTGAATAATAATAATAACTTGAATAACTTTTGAACTCGTTGGTTTATCGAACAAATGATAGGAGACATTTTTTGTAGAGCGTTCAATTTCCCATAAAAATCTGTTAATTAGTTTGTGAGCTGGAAAATTATAAAGAAACAAAACAAAATTTCCCATGTTATTTAAATGGGAAATAGAAATTCTCGATGCGCGACCTCTAAATATTAAAATTAAGAGCTCCGGTTTTCACAGGTGTCTTTTTTTGGTACCGTGAAAAAATTTCAGTGCGAAATTTTAAGAAAAAATAATAGTTGATTTTTTTGAACCAGCCTAATAAACATGCATGTTCAACGAAAGAAAATAGGCCTCCTAGAAAGAACAAAACATGTAAGAAATATTGAATCTGCAGAAATAGAGCAACATTTGTTTTTGATACTCTTCAAGAGTACGTGTTCTTGTATGCAAGGAGCAAAAATAGGTCCACTTAAGCCTGATTTATAGATTGCCTTCCTTCCTTCCTTCCTTCCTCGCGTAGAAGATACCATTTAAAGATTCCCGTACAAGAATCTTTAAACAGCACAACGGTTTTGTATTGTTAATCTTCTACGGGAGGAAGGAAGGAAGGAAGGCAATCTATAAATCAGGCTTCATGGAGCCCCCTCCGTAAAACAGCTGTTTTGACGTTTCTTAAAAAAAACTAAAGCCACTTTAAATTACTGTTAGTACTGGCATGAGAAAACATTTCTTCCTCACCTTTTCCAGTACACCGCTGTATGGTTGGATGTTGGGCGGCTGATGAGGTCTGCCATTGGTCGAAGACGAGGTTTCTTCAGTCGGCACTTCGGTCTCATCTCCGGAGCAAACGCTCGGCGAACAAACCGTTCTCAGGTCGCAGGGTGAATCATCGGAAAACAACGTTTCGGTACCACTGTCAGTGGTGGCCATGATTTACATATTTGTAGCACTACCGCAAACCACCTGAAACAACATGATTCATTTATTTATCGAAGGATAATAGTAAGTTATGTATCAAGTTTGATAAACGCCATTTTAGTCACGATTTTAATTTAACGAGCTTGCGAGCGAGCGATTAATTAAAGGAGTGGCTAGAAAAGTTCACAAACGAGTTGCATACTATACTTTTTCTACGATAAATATTTATTTACTCAGATTTTTTTTAATAAATTTAACAAAAAAGTAGTTTGTCTTAAATTCGTCCAACAATTGCTTTTGTTACGGCAAAAAGATCATTTTTATAAAAATTATTTATCTACAAACGCTGCTTTCAGTAATAGCATTTGCATTAATATTAAAATAAATTTACGTTGTGTTCCAGATGCAGAAAGGCATTGATAAAATCTTTTCTGGTCCCCCTGATTTCACATATTTTTTACATGTTTTTATATTTAAAATAAAAAATAAAACATCAGGTGACATATTTTTATTATTTTTATTTTTTAAAAAATATATTTGTAAACGAAAAATAACAATAACAACTTTTTTACAAAATGCGGAAGAATATTTTTTTTTAAATAATTTTCTCCACTGTTTCTAACACAGTTCAACACGATTTCCCTCCCATAAAAAAATTTAACAGATTTTAAAAATATAGGTTAAAAAAACGTATCCGTGTCTTACAGTTTTACGAAATCACGTCATTAATTTTTTATACAGCCATTCTTATTATTTTAACATAATTTAACATAACATATATTATACGAGGTGTGTTCAGAAAATATCGGGAATTTTCGTTTTTTGGAACAAATATTTATTTATTCGTCTACATTAATGTTGTCGCCTTCAAAATAGTCCCCATTGGATATTATGCACATGTGCCAGCTCTTCTTCCAATACTCGAAACACTTCTAAAACTCGATCTTTGGGATAGCCTTTAGTTCTTTCAGCGATGCGCTTTTAATGTCATCTATGCTTGCAAAACGACGGCCCTTTATTTTTGGGAATAGGAAAAAGTCAGACAGAGGCATGTCTGGCAAATATGGAGGCTGGGGCATCATTACAGTATTGTTTTTGGCGAAAAATTTTGTTCAAAATTTAATAATTTTGGAAGAAATTTTGCTGCCACGCGTTTCATACCCAAAACATTTGAAAAAATTTCATGGGATGAGCCAATCGATATACCAACATCATCAGTGACTTCTCTGATGGTTTATAACCATTTTTTCCACTTTTTCCATGTTTTTATCGGTTGTTAATGTGCTTGTGCGTTCGGGGCGTTCGTCATCTTCAACGTCTTCACGGCCATCTTGGAAACTCTTATACCACTTGTAAACTCTTGTTTTACTTATAGCAGACTCACTATGGGCCTTTGTTAACATTTCAAAGAATTTATTTCATTTTTTAAGCAAATTTGGATACAAATTCTTTGATCCATTTCTTTTAACGGACGAAAATCGCCGAGTTCATAAAACAGGTCTAACCTTAGCGGCTGCCACAGACAAAGTAAACAATGAAAACAGCTAAAGTTTTTATCATACTTCGGGGGCATGTATGCCAACATAATAAATAAAATTTTATGACAACCGGACCCTCCGAAGCCGCGAAATTTAACAATTCCCGTTATTTTCTGAACACACCTCGTACATAAATTTAATTTTCTATTTTGTTATAAATTATTTTTTTAAATATTGTGTGTTTTAAATAATTCAAAAACTATACAAAAAAAATATTTTTTTTAATTAAAAAAAATTCTATAAATTGATTAAATGATTTTTTTAAAATAAAACAACAGATTTGTATTTATCTTATATTCAACATATATTGGAAAAAAAATCTTGGTATTTTAGTTGTTTGACGATTATACATTGCTTCACAACCTAAAAAACACCACATATTTCGTAAATGTGCAACACCCTGTATAAAATTAAAATAAATTTAAAGTGTACCTTTAATGGTTGTCCATTTATTCATTAAATAAATTTTTTAAAAAGTATACATTTAGCCGTGATCTGAAAAAAGTCTATTTTCAAAATCTTTAGAATTTTTGTATGGGAGAGAAAATAATTTAAATTTCGTCGTACTATAAAATAATAGAAAATACTAACATACAAAGATAACTTAAACTAGCAATCTTACAGTGTTGCCATAATTTTTAAGCGTCGCGTCACGTTTTTTGTTTGCAGATAATACGATGGAAATAAGTTTTTTAATGTTTTGGGGCAAGTATCGGCCGGTCCCCCACGAGGTTAGGGCCCCCCGCGGTGGCGGGCGTTCGCGGTACTGTCGCTACGCCACTGACTGTTGGGTGTTGGGTAGTTCTTTTTTTAAATAATTGCAATTAAAAAATATAAAAAATTAGAAAACGTCGACATTTTAATTTTCTTAGTGATCTTTTTGATATTTTTATCATGCTAGATTTTACCACACTTCACTCGCACAAGTGAAATCAATAATATTATAACACAGACTGTGGATGGTTATGTTCACCAAGGAGAGCGCTGGCCTTAACGTAAGCTATTAACAAAGATTTTCTAGCGGAATTAAAATTAATTTGTATTACAACGATAGTAATTTAAAAAAAAAAAATATGCCATAGTAAAATGAACAAATTTTACTAAACAACTGCTCATTACTTTATGTAAGCGCAATTCACACACCACTATAGATTTAACAAAAACATTTTAAGTTCGACAAAGATTTAATATAGACATAAAGTATTTCTTATTGCCATGACAATATGATAACAACTGTTACTTTGTTGGATGAACATTTTTTTTTATAAAAGCTCAACATTGCTGCTTCATTTTAGTAAATGTGAATTTTATTAACATTAAAAAGTTTATTCTGTAAATAAAAATAGTATCATTACTTTGACAAATCGTAGGTTTTTGTCCCAATAAGACACTGAAAATTTAATAAAAAAGGTACCTTAGGTGGTAAATTTTTTTGTAGCCATTACAATTTTAAATTTAAGTTAAATAATAATATTTTATTAATCGCTTACAAAATTGGTTTCATTATCAGTACATGTACATCTGAATCAAAACAAAAACACCCTTTCTACAAACACTGCAACACAAACTGCTACCCACCACATCTTGCCCATAATGTGCCCGGTAGTGTGACCGATTTATGCCCAAAGTGTTTATAATTTTGATTACCATTTATAATTTATAATTTTGATTACAAATGCATTTGTTCCAAATTGCTGCCAAAGTACGGAAACCCAAATGGACCCAAACCATTTTTAATTGGTACCATCAAACGTAAGCATTGAATGCTCGTTTGTTTTAATATTAGTGAAGTGTGTTCATGAATAGCTGATGCCGTTGCTTATGGTATGTTATAATGTTGACCCGAGGCGTTGACCTACGCTAAAAACCGACTCTGGGTCAGTAATACAATGCATTCTTATACTCTCTTCACTGAACGCCATAACTATATATAGTTGAATTGACAATGGACGATCATGACGAAGTGGAAATAAAATATGGACATAACCTTTTATCAATGTAAATGCCGATCTGTTGTTATACTTAAATAAATCCGTCTTTTGATTTTTATATGTCAAGATGTTAATTCTAACAATAAAATGACAGCAAGCTATAGAAAGACAACGTACTGGTTATAAGATTATCATAATGCAGTTTTTACTATATGCACAGTAAAAAAATATTTGTTAATTTTAACCAAATATTAACCACATTTTATGTTAATCCAGGTCCACATATATGTTATAACTTTATGTTAAGTTTACAACCAACTGTAATCTGTTAACTAATGGTCAATTAGTAATTAAATAAGTAGTTTGTAATTATAACATTATGTGGATTTAATAACAAAATTCTCTATCAATAATTCCACAAACCTTTTGTAGACCCAGTAACAAATATTTAAGGTCTATTCTATAAACGAAGCAGACTTGTTGTTTAAAAAGTTAGTTAATATTTTTTTTTATTTTGAACATCATATAATATGAGTTAATTTTTTTGTTATAATAAATAATTTGTTTTAACGCCTTGCAATTATTTAAAAAAAACACCCAACAGTAGGTTAAAAATTTGAAATGTTGAATACATTACTTATTTAAATATAAAACGTTTTTAAACTAATTTTCAGTCATTAAAAGTATCAAAACATCGAACAACCATCAAAGTTTAAAATATTTCCTTTAAATTTAGCGCGCACCCCTTCCGACTTTAATTCTAAACGCTTAAATCATTGCCCGACCGCTTAATAGGGAAATAGTAATCACAGAAATTTGCGCTTCATATACGTCACACATTGCCGATACAACATCATGCTCCCCACCGCTGCACGGTGCCGCCATTTCATATATTTTTTATATTCATTTCATTTCAGGCGTTTTAAATGGTCCTGATATTCGGAAATTGGTAAAGTATGAAGACATTGACAGAGAGAAATCATCATTGGACTTTTAGGCAAACATCGTTCTCCCAATTATGAAGGATGCGACGAATGTTGGATGTTTTTTCCTAAATTGGAGTCAATAAGTATGTCGCTAAAAATTCATTTCCCTTATCGCTATTTGAACTACTTCAGTCGACAGTTATCGACACAATCATCAAACTGCGATGCCATTTGAGTCCAGATAAAGAGGAAAACGAGCTCCAGATGCCATATATGGCAGAATACTAGCTAGTATACTAGCCGAAATATTTTGGTGAAGTAAACATATTTTTGACTACGATCAGGAAGAAAATGAAAATGAAGAACAAGAAAATAAAGGAAAAGAAGTGATAGGGATGAAATTCTCCAGTGATGAATCAAAAAATGAAAATGAAGAGCAAGGAAATAAAGGAGAAGAAGTGGAAGGGATGGAATTCTTCAGCAATGAATCAGATTACTCAATGTTTTGATATAAAAAAGTTTTTTAATAATAAAATTAATAGAAAATAAAAATTCAAACTCTCTGTACTTTACTACAATTCTATTTTATCTATTCAATTTTTTCCTACAGATTTTTCGGCAAAATTTTTGGTGTTGAGTGTGAAAAGATG